TTTTTATACATAGTGATTCAAAAAGGTGTTGGCAAACTTAAAATAACACTAAAATGAGGCTATTTATTCATTTCCAGGACGACTTATAATTGTTCATGCGGGTTCGCAAGATGGTTTTGTTCCTGGAGCCTGTCTCATTTTCAAGGCTGGCTGTGCCACTGGTGATTATCACGGTCAAATGAACCAAGAAAATTTCACGAAGTGGCTTACTGAAAAACTATTTCCTAACATTCCTCCTAATAGTATTATAATAATGGATAATGCACCTTACCATTCAGCTTTGGAAGACAAGCCTCCAACTAGATCTTCTCTAAAAAGAGACATCATCACGTGGTTGAGCAAAAAAGGTATAGAGCATGATCCTAATGCTAAAAAAATGGAGCTTTATGAAATAGCTTGTCTACATAGGCCACCATCTGATGAGAAAAATTATAAGATAGATAATTTAATAAGAAGTTTCGGACACACCCCACTTCGAACGCCACCCTATATGTGTCAGTTTAATCCCATAGAGATGATTTGGGCACAAGTAAAATTTTTCATTAGAAGCCATAATACAAGCGGCGAATTTACTATAAAAAAACTAGATGAAATTTCTAATAAGGCCATCGCTTCAGTAAGTGCCAGTGACTGGCAAAAGGTTATTGGACATGTTATAAAAATTGAAGATGAATATTGGGAAAAAGACAGTCTCATTCAAGAAATACAGGAAGAAATAATAATCAACATAGGAGGTGAAAGTGATAGCAATGACAGTTCCTCAGACAGTGATCATGACTCTAATCAGGATTGAAACTATACTAGATTGGCTACCTTTTAGAATTTTTAGATATTCATTTATTATACTATTGGTTTGTGGCTTTTAGTATCTCAGTAGAAAGTCTAATTCTATGTGTTGTTTATGGGTTATTTCATCAAGAAATTACTTTTTGTTTTCCTATATTTTTCTATTCAGTCAGATATTTTTGACTTGTTGTATTCTATTTTAGAAGAATGCATAATTTGTTTTGCTGTTCAATCATAATGCGTACATAGGAATATTACTTGTTGCCTAAAAAATATATTTATTTTGTTCTCAATATTCAGTGTTTGTGTATATTTATTTCTTATAATGTATGTTTGGTATCACGTCATTATGAATCGCAAAAAAATATTAATACTACCAGTTGTAATAAAATATAAATTCAATTAATAATTCAAGTCTCTCCGATCTCCGCCTATGACTCCATATAAAATCGTCTAATGGTAAGGTTTTTTCATCGCATTTCCCCCTTTCGTCCCTAGCAATCTTTGGCTGGTCGATCTATAGAACAGCATACGCAGGGTGGTTTCGCGAAACTGATGAATACAATGATAACATCAACTAATGAAAGTGTTTGAGGTTATATCAGCTATTGTACTGCTCCAAATGCGTAGCAGTCGTCTGCGCACTTTTACCACTAAATTTGCTCATACAAAATTATGTACTGAATGCTGTCTAACACTTTCCTTAATTTTGTACGAAATTTATCACAATTTTTTTTACGAAATTCAGCACAAAATTTCGTAACGTAACAGATGTCCTTTAGATTGAGTTGTCATATCATATTGTAGTACACACACAGAAAGTACATAGGTTGCCAGACATTTTTAATGAGTTCTAAAGTTTAAAATGGTCGGTTTTAAGGCTTTTCTGCAATTTGATGACAGACGATATTATTTGAGGAATAAAATTTGTCACTCATTACTACGGGAAAAGAGTATCTTTTGCACATCCTAAACCAATTTCCAGAAACATCCCAACCGACTTCTAAAGTTGCCAGCTCGACTCGTTTTTTTTCTTTTGCCGGCTGGCTAATATTTACGACTTCGCTAGAACGTATTAATAGTTGGAACATTTGTCGCGTTGTCTGATATGCGGCAAGTAGAATGCATATGCGAATGATTTAATTCCCTTTTTTTAATGGCCGTGCTCATTTGTTACTCGGAATTTATTCATCGAGGATGTGGCAGACACTGTTTTTGTCAAGCATAGAACACTCAGTTATACAGGGTCCCCCCAAACAGAATGGACCTTATCACTCAGGGTGAGCGAAACTGGGCATTGCTTAATCTCTTTTTGAACCTGATTCCCGTGGCCGACGTATTGGTGCAACTCACCAAAGTTATTTTGGAAAAAATCTAATAAAAATAATCATATATTTTAATAATAATTTGTTTTCCAGTATACAGGGTGTAATTTATTTGATGGCTAAAAATATATATGATTCCTTAGCTCCTTTTGCTACAGGGTGTTAACGTTTTAAGAAAAAAATCGTTTTCTTATCATAACTTTAATACTGTTCTAGATATTTTCATGAAATTTTACATGCACCTACTAAGTACAAATAGGTATTTTTTGATGTAGAATTTTTTTAATATTTCTACCAGTGGCGTCCGTACGGGATGTATACCAGAGATTTTTCAAGACAATATGGTAGGCCATTGTTTTTTCCGAAAATCAAAATCATTTTTGAAATCGTTTAGGTAGTCATATATTTTGATAATTGATTCAGATGTGGTGGAAATAAAATCGCTGGAATATAGTGTTTCAACGTTACAAGAATGTTTGCGCATTTTCAGACATTGTTTGAAGGGAATCAAAATTGTAGGTTGGTTAGCTGAATGCCGTAAATGGTTGTGAATAGTTGCCAATTTGGTGTCAGTGAATTACTTTCTATTATTAAAAAAACGTATCTAATCACGATTCGATTTCGCCTTTTGGAACGATTTGACTTATTATTGTTCTTTTAAACCGCCAACGAAGGCGTAGGAAGTATAGAGTCAGTCTTCTTGACGCAATTTTTTATATATTAATTTAAGTTAAACTTATATCGGCACAATCAACTATTTTATGTATATACGCCTCAGGTGTAACATCACCCAAAAGTATGCGAAGTGTGGCCTCATGTCTGTAGCATTTCCGCTCGATATCTCTGTATTATATTTTGACACGATTACTACACGGTCTCTGCGTTTCCACTGAACCAAAGTCGAAAGGTTATCACCGCGTGTCACTGATTAAGCCCCATATCAGACTAATATTCTTCAAGGCTCGCTTGTTTTCAATCATCTATGGCACATTATTGCTTCTCAACCGTTAATAATATTTATAAAATATTATGTCTGTTCTCAAGCTGCACCTCTACGCTTTGCATTTAGTTGTTAACGCAATTACGGATAAAATAATTGTTTTTGTACCTACATAACGTATTTCCTAAAAGTCTTGCCACAAAATTCATCGGCTTTAACAAACACAAAATAATATCAAAAGTTGCCTTTGGAAACAAAAGTTTGTTTACTTACTTTACTGTCAGTTGACATTTATTTATTTTGAAGTTTTCGCTTCAAGATGTATACATTGGGAATACGAAAAATTATCTACAAGTTGGTTGCGCGTATACCCAAAGCTGAAATGTGTCGAGCAGGGAATACCATGTCTGAATCTCCCAAAAAGTGTAACACAACGTGCATTTACAACACAGAAGTCAGAGTGATTGGTGAGAAGAGCAAAAATTCAGGTTGGAAGGTCAATAAGGAGACTGGCTCGTCAATACAGATCTTCTAAGAGTACGATATCGTTGGAATTGAGGAGAAATGGTCTTAAATATCGAAAGAGACTTGGTGCCCCAAATACTCTGATGCGCAACTCCTTGCAATGCCCTTACAATGTTAGATACAAACATAAAGCGAAATTTGCAGATAAAATCCTTGTCTGGTGCGCAATTTCTAACAGGGATATAATATGTCAGCCTTTTGTGGGAAGAGTGAGGGGTGAAGCTTTGAATAGTCAGAGCTATATTGATAACTGCCTTTCCAACTTGCTTCAGTTTGTGCACGTACATCATGCTAATGACCATATCATGTTTTGGCCAGTTTTAGCATCATGACATTACTCAAGAGATACCCAAAATTGGTTTCGACAACACCACTGTTCCCAAAAACTGTCTAGAAAGATTTATCATGGAGGCTGAGAAGCCCAAGATGAAGAACAATTAAGACGGCGAATTTACGAAAAACTGAGAGAAATTGATCTGAATTCTGTCCAGGATCTCATGAGAGACATCCGAAGAAAGTTGCGTCTGGTAGCGCAGGATGGGCCACTCCACATAATTCGATAGTATAGTTTAGTTAACTCTTTCAAGGGCAAACTATTTTATAAAATTTATTCTCTATTTGGGCACAAAAAAAATTTTTTTTTATTACTTGTTTTTCACATAAAATGCTATTTGAGGATATAAATAATACTCAAAGCTTTTCATATTTTTTATTTTTACATGTAATTTTTCATATATTTGGCAAAAAATAAGTGGTGCTATATATGTACCACCGCCCTATTCCTATTTATTTCTGTGAAAGTCCTGGAAACAGGTTTTATTTTTATTTAAACAAAGAGGCACATTGCAAACGCTGCATACCCAGTCCGTTCTTACTTGTTTTTTTTTAGTGCTACAGTAAGCACACCGACGTCGAGTACCGCGTTCAGGTTGATGAGATGAACCTTCAAATCGAATTTCTTCAGAAACATATGGTTTGTTTTTTTTTATGGCAACAGATTCAAAGGTTGACAAAGAAGATCTTTTTCTATCTACCAGTTGTTGTACAACAAGACCTTGTATTATACTTCTTCGGAAATCTTTCATAGAAAGTGTGGGTAGCTGTAACTCCTTATATAATACATGCATTAACAACAGCAGCATCCAGGAAAAAAAAGAAAATGCGATGCCACCATTTATGGCTTTTTCGATCTATTTTGTAGGAAGTAAGATTTTGGTCGAACTTGTCGACAAAATTCATATTGGCATTGTAATCAGAAAGGGCTTTTGGACAAGGCACTTTGGTAATTGATCCATTCTTTTCTTTTCGGTTCACTTCAAGAGTATCACGTGGGTCATGGAAGTTAGACAGGAGAAAAACGGAACGCTTGTCCTTCCATTTAATAACAGACAAATCACTATTGCTTGTAAACCACTCGATATCACCTCTTTTCATGTTCTTATCTGATTTGAACTTCGGAATATTCCGCCTAGAAGAATTAACAGTACCACAGGCATGTATCTGCATATTTTTTAGATCTTCCATTAGCTCGACTCCGTTGAAAAAATTGTCAAAATAGACCAAGTGATTTTTATTTTCGAGACCCTCGCATAGCTGTTTCACAATTCTTGAGCCCAAGTTTTTCTCGACATCACCACTAGGTTTTCCTGTATAAATATCAAATTTTAGACAGTACCCATTTTTATCAGCCAGCATCCACACTTTGTATCCCCTTTTAGTAGGTTTTTTTGGCATATATTGTTTGAGAGAACTTCTCCCTTTGAATTTTATCATGGATTCATCTATGGCAACATCACGACTTGGCAGCATACATTTTCCAAATGCCTCTGACATACGGTTCAACAATGGCCTTACTTTGTACAGCTTGTCGTAATTGGCTTCGCCTTTTTTTGCCATCAATGAATTGTCATTCAAGTGAATATTTCCAAGCAACCAACTAAATCGCTTTACCGACATTAGATTACTGACATAAGAGTCATGTAGATCTGGCGCGCGAGACCAATGGTCCCTATAACTTGGAAGGCGCTTTATGCCCATAAGTAAATTTAACCCCAAAAATGTTTTAATTTCACGAACATCAGTTGGTTTATGCTTGCTGAACTGTTGTTGAGCATACAGGTTCGTTTCAAAAACAATACTTTCTATCAAGGAGTGAGAAAAAAATAATTGAAATAATTTGTACGGTGTTGGATCTGTCATATTCGTTACACAATCTGCTAGACCAGAATGCGCAGTAAAATCTGGAGGTGGTGTAGGAGTTTTCACATTAGACCAAACTGGATACTTTCTTCCAACTGATGAGGCAGATGAAGCTAGCTGCAGTTTTCCAGCGATAGTTGACAAAGGTATATCATCTTCTGAGTCACTATATGAACATATCAACACGTTGCTTCTAATAGTAGTTTCTGTATCACTTTCTTGGTCGTCTCTGCTACTGGCTAACGATTCACAATCAGATGGAATTTCTTCACCGTTTATACGACTTTGTTCCATTTCTGAATAAATGTTTTCGAGTTCGGCGTATAATTCACCTTCCGTCATATCGACTAGTTTAAATGGCAAGTCAGACATGTTGTAAGTCTGAAAATAAAAAAAAAATAGGGTGTAAAATAAAAACGTAATGTGTGCGGTGGTACGCATTGAGTACCAGTAAATATAAAACGATAGAGGTTTTTTTTCAAATAAATATAGGATAAAATCATAACAAAACAACTTTAATAAGATAATTACATCGAAATCATACAATGTTACTTACTTTTTTAGTGTTTATCCACTCACAGCTGGTATATATTCTTGACTAATGAATCATAACCTTAATTTGCTTTTGCATGCGGTATTCCGAACTCCCGCGCTATTGTCGGTGCATGCGCTCTTTTATAGACACGTGAACAACTTACTTTGAGCGGTGGTTCATGGAATGAACCGCTGCTCGCTCTGTAAATGAAATTCTTAGCAGTGGTGCTAAATATGTACCACCGCCTCATTAAAGCATGCTTTGAGGTGGTTTATTTTATATACCATCGCCCTTGAAAGAGTTAAGTATTGAGTTGTAATTTATGATAATTATTGATCGACCAGCCAAAGATTGCTAGGGACGAAAGGGGGAAATGCGATGAAAAAACCTTACCATATATATTAGACGATTTTATATGGAGTCATAGGCGGAGATCGGAGAGACTTGAATTATTAATTGAATTTATATTTTATTACAACTGGTAGTATTAATATTTTTTTGCGATTCATAATGACGTGATACCAAACATACATTATAAGAAATAAATATACACAAACACTGAATATTGAGAACAAAATAAATATATTTTTTAGGCAACAAGTAATATTCCTATGTACGCATTATGATTGAACAGCAAAACAAATTATGCATTCTTCTAAAATAGAATACAACAAGTCAAAAATATCTGACTGAATAGAAAAATATAGGAAAACAAAAAGTAATTTCTTGATGAAATAACCCATAAACAACACATAGAATTAGACTTTCTACTGAGATACTAAAAGCCACAAACCAATAGTATAATAAATGAATATCTAAAAATTCTAAAAGGTAGCCAATCTAGTATAGTTTCAATCCTGATTAGAGTCATGATCACTGTCTGAGGAACTGTCATTGCTATCACTTTCACCTCCTATGTTGATTATTATTTCTTCCTGTATTTCTTGAATGAGACTGTCTTTTTCCCAATATTCATCTTCAATTTTTATAACATGTCCAATAACCTTTTGCCAGTCACTGGCACTTACTGAAGCGATGGCCTTATTAGAAATTTCATCTAGTTTTTTTATAGTAAATTCGCCGCTTGTATTATGGCTTCTAATGAAAAATTTTACTTGTGCCCAAATCATCTCTATGGGATTAAACTGACACATATAGGGTGGCGTTCGAAGTGGGGTGTGTCCGAAACTTCTTATTAAATTATCTATCTTATAATTTTTCTCATCAGATGGTGGCCTATGTAGACAAGCTATTTCATAAAGCTCCATTTTTTTAGCATTAGGATCATGCTCTATACCTTTTTTGCTCAACCACGTGATGATGTCTCTTTTTAGAGAAGATCTAGTTGGAGGCTTGTCTTCCAAAGCTGAATGGTAAGGTGCATTATCCATTATTATAATACTATTAGGAGGAATGTTAGGAAATAGTTTTTCAGTAAGCCACTTCGTGAAATTTTCTTGGTTCATTTGACCGTGATAATCACCAGTGGCACAGCCAGCCTTGAAAATGAGACAGGCTCCAGGAACAAAACCATCTTGCGAACCCGCATGAACAATTATAAGTCGTCCTGGAAATGAATAAATAGCCTCATTTTAGTGTTATTTTAAGTTTGCCAACACCTTTTTGAATCACTATGTATAAAAAACATATTTTTGAGAAAAAAATACTTGCAAGGGATTATGTATTCAATTAGACAAATTAAATGAGCACTTATTAAGAATATTCCAAAATTGAGAAAAATGTATAATAAGCAAAATCGAGGTGAAAGAAACTTTATTACCTGTAGAACTTATATTGCTCAGGACACCCATAATTTCTTCGCTTTGCCAGCATTTCTTGAAAGTGAGGTCATTATCAACCCAAGTTTCGTCCAAATAAATAATATGCCTTCCTTCTTCCCGGAACTTTTTAATAGACCTAAGATACTTGTATCGCCAATGTAAAATACTGGGTCTTTCCATTAGTAATTTCCTTTTGTTGTGGCATTTACGCCAGTAAAATCCTTTTGCTTTTAAAAGCAGCCTCAACGATTCTTTACCAAATGGAAATTCCATTTCTTCCTTCAGTTTGATTAGAAGTTTACTACAAGTAGGTACCACTTTAAAATCACAGTAAAATTTTTCTATCATTCTCCGAATAATGGAAAAATCGACTCCATCAATTTTTTGGATCACAGAATGGCGTGATCTCTTTTTTCCGGGAGAAGCTAAAGGCTGTGTGGAGGTTGCATTTTGCCTGTCTTTATCTTCTTTTCTAATTTTACTTATAGTTCGTTCACTAACACCCGTATAATATGCCGCCCTTGCATTTCTAGCTACCAGTGGATAAACGAAAGTATTGTTAGCCGCTTCTGCATCGCAAGCACGTATCACGTTTGCTATTATTTCCCTTGCCTGGCTGTGAATAACTTTCCCATGCTTGAATTCCATTATCACCACTAAACAGTAAATTATATTTTCAAAGTATTTGCCAACTGCCTACGCCTATGGGAGTAGGTTTATAAATGACCGTGCCATCGGCACGTTATTCTAGTTTCAGATAAGATAAGAGTTTTGGACCAATCAGCGACCGGATGTTTACCTGCGGCCTGGGTTTTCCAGCTACATTGCCAAATTCAGCGGAACAATTCTATATCTTAAATATGTTAATATGTATGGACCGCATTTTATGTAGAACATCTGACAACTTCGCAATTTGTCCGCATTTCTTTCGGCTTGCAATCTTTCGCTGGTCAACATTAATTAGTGTTTAAACAATTTTTTTCAAAAAAAATCCGATAAATATTTGTGCCAACGTTTAGGACATACGTAATTCTACGTCCATGATGATGATAATGAAAAAATTAACACAATCTTCAGAATAAATTAACTACGAATGAGATGAGGTGTTAACCTATATCAACAGGGAGATTCTAAAATATCTTTACTGACTTCATGTATTAAGCTTATCACTGTTATCAGCGCAATATGCGGTACACATGCAAGTAAAAAATCTGGAATTGGACTAAATAAATGGGGGGATAATTTGTAAAGCTATAAGTATACCTAAACAGATGAAGATGTCAATTACTGATTTGCTGTTCACGTCAATAGACGTTAAAACGTGACGAAGTTGTGAAAAATAGCTTATCTTTCTATCAAATCTATCTTTTTCTCATCTAAGTACTTTTCACAGTTTGACCACCCAGCGCCGCTCAGCGGGAGAATAATTGGACATTGCTATCACTGAATGCAAATCTGGAAGACAAACAGACTCATATACAGCACGTTAAACTATGGCAACATCGTTGACGTTTGTCAGATGGTTGCGCCGCCTAATTGCCAGGACATCTGGAGGGATTATCAAAAGAATGCCGAGAATGCGCCTGGAATAAGGATTGCTAAGAATCTGCCGGGGATTTCGTTTGTTCATAATTTGAAATCTGCTGAAAATGACATTTCTGATACTAAAGGATTATTTCATGAACAAATATTCATAAAATATCCCCAATAAGGTTAATATCTCTTTCAGCAGTTTTGCTGAGAACAAGGTTCAGAATAATAAAATCCAACACTAATTATGAAGCACAAAATATATTTAGTTCCAAAAAATAATCATATGCTGTTGACAATGATATAACAATTGTATTGCTTGAAAATATAGACAGATTTATTTCAAAAATTAGTGCTTTATGACTGTACTATACCAATATTGCCATTGATATTTAATACAAAAAAAACTTTCGTACTGTATATGACGGAGCCAATTACAAGGATTATAAAGAGGCTGAATCCCCAGACATGCAATTTTGAATAATCTGCCAAGTACATCTTGCCGATATGTTAAGCTTATGATAAGTCTCCTGAACTTCTGCATCTCCCACAATAGTCACAATACATCTCACGTATCGTATGATAGCGTTGCTTTATATTTTATACTCATATTTGGATATTAACCAAAACAAACGTCATATTTGATATTTTCACATTTAGATAAAGATAGAGAATTCCTGCAAGAAGTACGACGCTTGATGCCGGTAGTGCAGTTTCCTCGATTTTGCCTGGAGACGATGACCCTGGTGTTACCAGCTCGCTCACAAGACGTTTCATCCCCCTGCGTCTAGGTACAAATTAAACTATAACAGCGATGTTCCTTAGATATAATAAAAATATACTTCATTTGTGGATCACTGTTGAGCCGATCATTCCAAGTAAACATTCGCTGGCTGGACTCAAATCACGAACTTTGTAATGTAACGCTGGATGTGAGCATTACATTACAGCGCTCGGCTTCAGTCAGCGCCGAACAGAGCCGCGTACGTCGAGCAAATCGTGCTCCACTGTCGGTTTTTTGACGTTAGTACAGGTGGCGACTAATTCGTCGGCGAGCACCGTATCTGCGGTCTTATTATTTTATTAGTTGAGATAGAGATCTTGACACACGTTATTAATATAGTGTTCCCAAGAGAAAACTTTATTATTTATTGATTTATATCGTACTAAAAGTATGCTATGGAATCCTCAACATGCGGAATATTATAAAAAAATTAACATGATGCGTGGTAAGAGTTGGGCTACAGAAACAGAAACTTCGGTTGATGAGTGTAAACGTAAAATTACAAGTTTGTTAGCTTCTATCAGGAGAGAGAAAGCCAAAATATGTAAAAGCAAGTGCACAGAAACATGTAAGAATGTGTCTTACTTCACCATTATACAGGGTGTCACAGAAGTCAACGTCAAGCCGGAAACGGGGGATAGACCAAGTCATAATAGTTATCAGAAAAATATAAAAAATCCAAGTCGTGTACTTTCCAAATTATAGGCTTTTAATCAAAAAAAATCTACACACGTTGCTATTTACGAATTTC